CTTAGGCTACTGCCCCTGCGACTCGACTCCGGATAAGTGGATGAAAATGGATGGATGGATGGTTTAATGGCGGACGGCATAAACAGAGGGATTTTGTGATCTCGCAAGTCGAGTGAGGAGCACAGCGGAGAAGCTGCTTCATAGCTCTCGGTGTTCACTGGAGTGCAGCAATTGTCACGAGGAACCCTTTCTGCTGCCGTTCCACACCACCAATCCTTCCATTGTGCAGTATGGGTAAGGCTGTAGTAAAAGGGTTAGCTTAAGGCTTACTAGCTCTTTGCTGGTAAATTCAGGAATTCTGGACTAAGAAGCAAGCCTATAAAATAAAGATTCTTCAACTTTTATTGCCATGAGACCCTGGCCTATTGGGTATGAGTGTTTGCCCTGAGACTGGGAGATTGTGGGTTCAAATCCATGGTCGAGTCCCACCAAAGACGTTAAAAAATGGGACCCTGCTTGACACTCAGCAAAAAGGGGTTGGATTAGGAGATTAAAACACCAAATGGTTCCCGAGCGCAGCTGTGTCTGCAGCTCACCGCTCCCCCAGGGGATGGGTCAGTGGCGGAGAATTAGTTTCACACACCTAATGGGTCTTTTAGCAAATGTTTTCATATTTTGAATTGAAATGGATTTCTTGAACCAATGTGTGCTACAATGGCCCTTTACAGGTTTAATGAAATGTCACTCAGACACCCATCGCCCCCTGTAGCCAGAATAAAGCATTTGCAACTTCAGAGTGCCGGCCCATTCCAGCAATGCAGCCTGGTTCCAGCATGTTTCCTACATATTTTAGATCATGAACACAGCTGATTTGTTTAATTTAGTGATGAATCTCTTCTGTAGACACTTAGGAAGCCTGGGAAGGCATTTCAGATTTCATATTAAGGTGTTAAAAAAAACACCCATGCGAGGAGATAAGTTTTCCTTTCAGTTCTACTAAACAGACTAGGGGGAGCTAAAAGCAAGCCAAAACGGCCTCGTCTCCCTTTACCTTAAATTAACTACCATTCCTAAGCCACGTCCCCCTGATGTGAGAACTTGTATTGCCAGAAGAAACGAGAGAGAGCTAAACACCAGTTGCTGTTTCCTAGGTCCAAACGTCTTTTTTTGTCTTTAGGCACTTAAAAATTTTGTTTTTCTTTTTGGGGACTCTGTGACATTGTTCTAAAGTTGGTGGTAGAAGCTGTCTGTTTCTCCTTCTCTGATATTATTTAGCATAGAACCTCTCACACCATTGGTGTTCTGTTGCAACATACACAAGTGAATAATGAATTGAGGACCCGGGTGAATGCAGAAGTGCAGTGGTTCGATGAGACCAACAACCGGATGGTCCAATCATTGGTTTCGGACCAAGCCATGTTCCAGACAAATGCACAAGAACCACTTCATTATTATATACAGGTCCTTCTCAAAAATTAGCATATTGTGATGAAGTTCATTATTTTCTGTAATGTACTGATAAACATTAGTCTTTCATATATATTAAATTCATTACACACAAATGAAGTAGTTCTAGCCTTTTATTGTTTCTAATATTGATGATTTCGGCATACAGCTCATGAAAACTCCAAATTCCTATCTCAAAAAATTTGCATATTTCATCCGACCAATAAAAGAAAAGTGTTTTTAATACAAAAACAGTCAACCTTCAAATAATTATGTTCAGTTATGCACTCAATACTTGGTCGGGAATCCTTTTGCAGAAATGACTGCTTCAATGTGGCGTGGCATGGAGGCAATCAGCCTGTGGCACTGCTGAGGTGTTATGGAGGCCCAGGATGCTTCGATAGCAGCCTTAAGCTCATCCAGAGTGTTGGGTCTTGCATCTCTCAACTTTCTCTTCACAATATCCCACAGATTCTCTCTGGGGTTCAGATCAGGAGAGTTGGCAGGCCTATTGAGCGCAGTAATACCATGGTCAGTAAACCATTTACCAGTGGTTTTGGCACTGTGAGCAGGTGCCGGGTCGTGCTGAAAAATGAAATCTTCATCTCCATAAAGCTTTTCAGCAGATGGAAGCATGAAGTGCTCCAAAATCTCCTGATAGCTAGCTGCATTGACCCTGCCTTTGATAAAACACAGTGGACCAACACTAGCAGCTGACATGGCACCCCAGACCATCAGTGACTGTGGGTACTTGACACTGGACTTCAGGCTTTTTGGCATTTCCCTCTGCCCAGTCTTCCTCCAGACTCTGGCACCATGATTTCCGAATGACATGCAAAATTTGCTTTCATCCGAAAAAAGTACTTTGGACCACTGAGCAACAATCCAGTGCTGCTTCTCTGTAGCCCAGGTCAGGCGCTTCTGCCACTGTTTCTGGTTCAAAAGTGGCTTGACCTGAGGAATTTGGCACCTGTAGCCCATTTCTTGCACTCGCCTGTACACGGTGGCTCTAGATGTTTCTACTCCAGACTCAGTCCACTGCTTCCGCAGGTCCCCCAAGGTCTGGAATCGGTCCTTCTCCACAATCTTCCTCAGGGTCTGGTCACCTCTTCTCGTTGTGCAGCGTTTTCTGCCACACCTTTTCCTTCAGACTTCCCACTGAGGTGCCTTGATACAGCACTCTGGGAACAGCCTATTCATTCAAACATTTCTTTCTGTGTCTTTCCCACTTGCTTGAGGGTGTCAGTGATGGCCTTCTGGACAGCACTCAGGTTAGCCTTACCCATGATTGCGGTTTTGAGTAATGAACCAGGCTGGGAGTTTTTAAAAGCCTCAGGAATCTTTTGCAGGTGTTTAGAGTTAATTAGTTGATTCAGATGATTAGGTTAATAGCTCATTTAGAGAACCTTTTCATGATATGCTAATTTTTTGAGATAGGAATTTTGGGTTTCCATGAGCTGTATGACAAATCATCAATATTAGAAGCAATAAAAGGCTTGAACTACTTCAGTTGTGTGTAATGAATCTTAATATATATGAAAGTCTAATGTTTATCAGTACATTACAGAAAATAATGAACTTTATCACAATATGCACATTTTTTGAGAAGGACCTGTATATATATTTTTTATATTCACAATATATTTATATACTACGTTAGAATGTGTATAAGAGGCATGAAAAAAATGTTTTAATATAGCTTGTTTTGCAGAGTTGCCATTGTAGCTTTAAAGACACTTTCCTGAATTTTGCAGATATCTGATCCCTGTCACCCTCTCAAGGCTTGCTGCGTAATGTCATTGTCGTAAAATCTAATCTCTGTCACACATAAGAGGCATGTTTACTGGCTGGTTTCCAACTTGCGTGCCAAATAAACACATTAAGCGGCGTTTCAGCAATTAATAAAGTTTTATAAAGACTGTTTAACAACTTCATGCCCGACCACACACAATAACCCCGGTGAAATCATTTATTACTTACCTATCCATTAGCAGCACGGCTAGGTCAGAGTCCGTAGTACAGGCCGTTCTTTCAAGAAGAGCTCTCCAGCGAGGAAAAGCTGGCCCAAAAGTAACTCTGGTTTTTGGTCTTGCTCTATATTGTTCTCTTTTTCTTTTCCTAGGTTCTTCTGATGAGGGATTTCTAGCTTTCTTTGGTGGATCTGCCATTGCTCAAATATCTAAACTGGGGTCTACCACAAACATAAATACGTAGACGCCCTGTGGACTGGTGCTGCCATACTGGCTGGCAGCCATTTTAGATGGGTCTCCATTCACCCCCAGTGCATTCATTTCTACTAAGGGAGGTGCTTCTCAACTAAAAAACACATTTTATTAATCTTTTTCACAAAACCAGACACAAGTTGGTCACTCTGCATTGATTTTGGACTTTTCTGCGGTCACTGCTTTGGAGAGTAAGACCCATCCAATATGGCGGTGATGCTGTTACGGTATCGGCACCCAATGCGGCATTTACGTATTCATGTCTATGGGGTCTATGTCTATGTGATACTGCCATAAAGCAACAGTACATTCGGCGGCAGACCGCGGGTCAAAAACTGTATAGTTCAGTAATCAGACGTGGGACCCCATAACACTGTCACAGCTCTGAAAATGAACATAGATAAAAGTATGCCACCAAAATATTTAAAAGAAAACATTATTTATTGTGTAAAAGTTGGAGAACGGGGCTTTAAGGAAGACAAAAATGCTTACCGTATTTTCACGACCAAAAGGCGCACCTAAAAGTCTTAAATTTTCTCCAAAATGGACGCCGCGCCCTATGGTGCAGTGCGCCTATTGTGTTGTTGTAAGACGCGAACATAGTAGAAGACAAGGGGCGTGGCGTGAACATGTGGACGTGAGCGAAGACAGACTTGTGGATTTGCCACATCGTCATCAACATCCTCGCTATTTGCCTCAGACTCCGGCTGTGAGTCTCCGTCCACTTCCTCTGCTTCCAGTTCAAAAAACAGCCGTACTATCTGAACTGCCTGGTGGGCATTTATACTTCTCATCATCCTTTATTAAAGCCTAATAAAAGCCGACTAAACTGCAGTGACAATGTATCTGTCCGGATCGCTCCACAATATGAAGTTTACCGTCAATATCTGTCTAATAGTTTGTTGTTACTCCATTCGCGCCACTCCTTTCCCCGCGAAGCGGCTCCTTTTTGCGCACATCTCGTTACTCGTGCAGCCTTCCTCTCTCTCTCAGCTACATAATGATACTTTTTATCAATTGAATATGTGAGACTTCCACCAACAGCAAAAGGATCTCGTGTTTTTGTGTTTTTTAATGTTCACAAGCACATTCCCTCTCACGGATTACTAAACTGCTGTTTTGACAAGTTGTCAGATTGTCTAAAAATAGGTCATTTTTTTTAGTTTAATATAATGGACTCGACACACGGGAGGTGACATCGCCTCTCCTCCATTAATTTTCAATGAGACATTCGCGCTGCCGGTACATGTTCTGGTATAATTTGTATTTGCAGTAAAGAAAATGTAGAAATAAAGTGTTCATGGAAAAAAATTCTCATAATATTTTAAATGTGATTGTTGTTTCAAAGCTAAAAGACAGAAAAAAAAATTTCTCTCTGTCTTTCCTTTTCAGAATGTCAGTTGATGAAGACAGAGAGGCCAAAACCCAACACCTTCATCATTCGCTGCCTTCAGTGGACCACCGTCATAGAAAGGACCTTCCACGTGGACACACCTGATGAAAGGTTAGTCCCTTTAGAGATTAAACATGCACAACATGGTCCTAAATCCTTCTTAAATTCAAGATTTGATGAGTTATGACTCCTAAAACATCTGCTTTTAGATTTCAAAGCAACAAACAGATTTACAAGTTCACGCTACTTGTGTTAGTGCAAACTTTGCCTTTTCTTTCTGGGCGGAAGTTTGGATGAAAGCTCCTTTAGATCTCTAAAGTGTTTGAAAACTTGAAGAAACTTCTAAGTTTCAGGTCAGATGTTTGCCAATAAATTGTAAGAAAATAAGATGTCATGACGACGAAGGTGTGAGAAATACACAAAAATACAAATTTTGAATAAACATTGTGTTTTTATATTCAATAAAAGTGTTGTTAGTACCAGAGATATGTATATGAAGGGTTTTACTGTGGAGTTTGTTCCTTTTTGGTGTCTGTGAGCGAGACAGAATGGAAAGAAGACCTTTCAAGTAGTGTTGGCATAAATTCTCCAGCTGCTCAGTTCCTTTCTGAGGAGCTGAGGTGTTTATCTCCAGAAAATGAACAGCTTTGCCCAGAAGACCACAGATGCTTCTGTGCATTCTTTGAGGTTGCGTGCATGTTGGTGTGTGTGTGTGTTGCAGCTGTCTGTCCAACTTTGTCTGTGTTATTGTGCCTTTTGTAGTAGTTTTGCCACTAGATAATCAAATCAACATTTCAGAGTTGAAAGAAACCTCCTAACTTTCTATTAATTAGTTTGAAAAGTGTGCATGGCAACAGCTGGAGCAGCAGACAACTGCAGGCTCCAGATGTTTTCTGTGTTTTGTGCATTTTTGCACACATCGAGCGTAATCGAAGTGTAAGAAGTTGCTGAAAGACGAGGATTTGCCACAACTGTGTGTGTGTGTGTGTGTGTGTGTGTGTGTGTGTGTGTGTGTGTGTGTGTGTGTGTGTGTGTGTGTGTGTGTGTGTGTGTGTGTGTGTGTGTGTGTGTGTGTGTGTGTGTGGTACTGTATCTGTTGTACTGTATCATTGCTGGCAGGCCTCCAGTTACCGCAGCCCCAGCCGTGTGCAGAGAGGGTGGCACGTGTTGGCATGGTGCCTGACTGTAGGCAGGCCCATTATCTCTCATTAGCAAAAGGGGAAAAAAATAGAAAAAGAGGCTCATTATACAAAAAACACTTTAACCGAGAAAGAGCATTTATCTGCTGTCTGACCTTGAGAGAGTTCCCATTGCGTTTCACGCAGCTATGTGCACACACACACACACACACACACACACACACACACACACACACACACACACACACACACACACACACACACACACACACACACACTCACACTCACACATTCACACACATGCCACAAATCAAATGCTCCACATTTGTGAATGGAAACTTGAGTTTGCCCTTGTTTTGGAGTGTGTAGGGTATACTTAAAAAGTCTTTGGAGAAGAAAAGGATTTAGATCTTAAAACTTTAGCACTCTGGGTAACCCTCGTGGAAGCATATGGGGGTCTAACTCACAACAAAACAAAAAAGGCTCTGAACGAGTTTGATTATTACGATCTTTTAGGTTTTACGTTTGTATATCTTAAAGGTCAATCTTTAAAAGTCAAGTTTGTTTTTGCAGGGTACTGAAGACTTTTGAATATGTGCTTCAAAATATTCAGATTCATTTAAAGCAGACAGATTTTGGCAATTTTAAGTCTTTGAGAGCAAAGGTAGGCACAATGGATGATAAAATATTACCGTTGGCACGATTAAGATGTCATTTATCTTAAATATGAGTTATTCTGATAGCATGAATTTATACTCGGAAATGAAACTGTTTGTTTGAGTGAAGCTCCGCCCACGCCCGATGCAACAAAACTGTGGTCCACTGGGTAAAGCATCTGCCTTCCATCTTGTTTTGCCATGTCCTGATGCCGATTCGACTCCTTGTGTTGGCAGTAATTGATTTAGCCAGCTTAAGAAGATTTAATATTTTTTTTATATTAGTTTAATTGATTATCCATCCAGATATTTTTTATTTCCGTTTATCCATGCAGGGTTGCGGGAGGCTGGTGCCTATCTCCAGCAATCATCGGGCAAGCAGGCAGGGTACACCCTGGACAGATTGCCTTTCCATCGCAGCTGTTGATTATTTTCTGCTAAATATTTTGAGTCTCTAAAGATCTTTGAATTTCGTCTTTTCTGAGCAGCATTTTGATTAAAGCTTATACTTCTGCTTCTGCGTCCGCGTCGGTATGGAGACACGCAACGCCATAATCTGTCCTCGCGAGGGTTCACCAGCAGGCTTGCAAGGATGGATGGAGTTAAGCCCACTTTTCTAAACATCTGTCCAACAAGACGAAGAACGCAAGCTTGTGATTGGTCAGGAAACCGCTGTAGTAAACAGTGCCGCCATTGCCCCCTCAAAAACATAAAAAAGCCAAAGATATCTCTGCGGCAGACAGAGAGCAGCTTGATGAATGCTTTTGCTTTAGGTAAACTCTAAAAATATGAACGTTTTATTCACCCGTGACTGGATGAGTAAAATGAAATGCAGCAAGCGTTTTATTCATGGATGAAAATGACGGGAAACGAGGGTTTGGAGGTGACAAGCGCATGCAGAGGTGGAGGAGAATGAGGGACAAATTTGTCCCTGTTAAAAAGTCTCTGAAATATAAAAGCACAATATAAACACAATAGTAAATGTACTATCTTGGACCAGATACAAGACAGGATTCCACAGAACAGTGCTGCGCCCTCTGTTGCCCTGGCGGCACATTGCAACACTCCCAGGAGACGGAGAAGTCCAAGAGCAAAAAGTCCCCATCCGTGCGCGAGCGTCTCTCCCTTGTGGAGCTGTCTCAGAAGTATAAACTAGGCTTTACTCTGCTCACCTCACATGGACTCACACTGGCTAAATAAAGAAAGAAAAAACAATCCATCCATTTTTATCCGCTTATCCGGAGTTGGATCGGGGGGTAGTAGCCTAAGGCGAGAGGCCCAGACTTCCCTCTCCCCAGCCACTTGGGCCAGCTCCTCCGGGGGAATCCCAAGGCGTTCCCTGGCCAGGTGAGAAACATACTCCCTCCACCTTGTCCTGGGTCTACCTTTAGGTCTCCTCCCGGTTGGACGTGCCCAGAAAATCTCACCAGGGAGGAGTCCAGGAGGCATCCTGACCAGATGCCCGAGCCACCTCAATTGGCTCTTCTCGATGTGGAGGAGCAGCGGGTCTACTCCGAGCCCCTCCCGAATGACCGAGCTTCTCACCCTATCTCTAAGGGAGGGCCCAGCCACTCTGCGGAGAAAACTCATTTCAGCCGCTTGTATCCGCGATCTCATTCTTTCGGTCACTACCCAAAGCTCATGACCATAGGTGAGGGTAGGAACGTAGATCGACTGGTAAATCGAGTGCTTTGCCTTCTGACTCAGCTCTCTCTTCACCACTTTAGACCAGTACAATGCCCACATCACTGCAGATGCAGCACCAATCCACCTATCGACCCCATGCTCCAGTTTTCCCTCACTTGTGAACAAGACCCCGAGATACTTAAACTCCTCCACTTGGGAAAGGACCTCATCCCTGACCTGGAGAAGGCATTCTACCCTTTTCCGAATCAAGACCATGGTCTCCGATTTAGAGGAGCTGATTCTCGTCCCAGCTGCTTCACACTCAGCTACGAACCGCTCCAGCGAAAGTTGAAGGTCACGTTCTGATGAAGCCAACAGGACCACATCATCTGCAAAAAGCCACACCTTGGCTGTGCCTAGAAATCCTGTCCATAAAGATTATGAACAGAATCTGTGACAAAGGGCAGCCTTGGCGGAATCCAACTCTCACTGGGAACGAGCCTGACTTACTGCCGCCAATGCGGACCAAGCTCTGACACCGGTCATACAGGGACCTAACAGCCGGTATCAGAGGGCCTGGTACCCCATACTCCCGGAGTACCCCCCACAGGTTTCCCCGAGGGATGTGGTCAAACGCCTTCTCCAAATCCACAAAACACATGTAGACTGGTTGGGCAAATTCCCACGCACCCTCCAGGATCCCCCTAATTGGTATAGAGCTGGTCCAGTGTTCCACAGCTAGAACGAAAACCACATTGCTCCTCCTGAATCTGAGGTTCAACAATCTGACGGACCCTCCTCTCCAGAACCCCTGAATAGACCTTACCAGGAAGGCTCAGGAGTGTGATCACCCTATAGTTGGAACACACCCTGCGGTCCCCCTTTTTAAATAAGGGGACCACCACCCCGGTCTGCCAGTCCAGAGGAACTGCCCCCGATGTCCACGTGATATTGCAGAGCCGCGTCAACCAACACAGCCCCACAACATCCAGAGCCTTAAGGAACTCCGGGTGGATCTCATCCACCCCCGGAGCCTTGCCACAGAGGAGCTTTTTAATCACCTCAGTGACCTCAGCACCAGAGATTTGAGAGGCCAACCCAAAGTCCCCAGAGTCTGCTTCCTCACTGGAAGACGTGTTGCTGGGATTGAGGAGGTCTTTGACGTATCCTGCCCACCGATCCACAACGTCCTGAGTAGAGGTCAGCAGCACACAGTCCCCACTATAGATAGTGTTGGTAGCGCACTGCTTTCCCCGCCTGAGGCTCCAAATGGTGGACCAGAATCTCCTCGAAGCCGTATGAAAGTCTTGCTCCATGGTCTCACCAAACTCCTCCCATGCCCGGGTTTTTGCCTTGGTGACCACCCGAGCCACATTGCGCTTGGACTGCCGGTACCCGTCAGCTGCCTCTGGAGTCCCAAAGGACAAAAAGACCTGATAGGACTCTTTCTTCAGCTTGACAGCCTCCCTAACCACCGGTGTTCACCAGCGGGTTCGGGGGTTGCCACCACAACAGGCACCGACGATCCTGTGACCACAGCTCCGGTTGGCCGCCTCAACAATGGAGGCACGAAAGAGGGTCCATTCAGACTCAATGCCCCCCATCTCCCCCGGAACATTTTGGAAGTTCTGTCGGAGGTGGGAATTGAAGCTCCTTCTGACAGGAGACTCTAGCAGACGTTCCCAGCAGACCCTCGCGATACGTTTGGACCTGTCTGGTCTGACCGGCATTCTCCCCCACCATCTGGGCCAACTCACCACCAGGTAATGGTCAGTTGACAGCTCCGCCCCTCTCTTCACCCAAGTGTCCAAGACATGCGGCCGCAGGTCAGATGAGACAACAACAAAGTCGATCATCGAGCTGTCGCCTGAGGTATCCTGGTGCCAAGAGCACATATGGACACCTTTATGTCTGAACATGGTGTTCATCATGGACAATCCATGACTGGCACAGAAGTCCAATAAAGAAACACCACTCGAATTCAGATCGAGGGGCTGTTCCTCCCAACCACACCTCTCCAGATCTCACTGTCATTGCCCACGTGAGCGTTAAAGTCTCCCAGCAGAATGAGGGAGTCACCGGAAGGAGCGCTTTCCAGCACCCTCTCCAAGGTCTCCAAAAAGGGTGGGTAGTCTGACCTGTAGTTTGGTGCATAAGCACAGACCATAGTCAGAACCCATCCCCCCACATGTAGGCAGACGGAGACTACCCTCTCACTCACTGGGGTAAACACCATTGTACAGGCACCAAGAAGGGGGACAACTAGTATGCCGACCCCTGCTCGGCGCCTCTCAGTGGGAGCAACTCCAGAGTGGTAGAAAGTCCAACCCCTCTCAAGGAAACTGGTTCCAGAGCCAGAGCCATAGGTTGAGGTGAGTCCGACTATATCTAGTCGGAACTTTTCAACCTCACACACCAAATCAGGCTCCTTCCACAACAGAGAGGTGACATTCCATGTGCCAAGAGCCAGCTTCTGTAGCCGAGGATCAGACCGCCACGGTCCCTGCACTCGACTACCACCCATCACACACTACACCCAACCCCTTTGGCCCCTCCCACGAGTGGTGAGCCCATGGGAAGGGGGACCCACGTTTCCTCTTCGGGATGTGCCCGGCTGGGCTCCATGGGTGAAAGCCCAGCCGCCAGGCGCTCACCAGCGTGCCTCATCTCCAGGCATGGCTCCAGAGGGGGACCCCAGTGACCCACATCCGGGCATGGGAACATGGTTTCCATTTATATAATTCACCATAAGAGGTCTTCAAAAAAAACGATTTGTGATTTTATTTTAAACAGTTAACCAATAATGGGTTCAAAACATAATCCTGGCAAAAGAAAAAAAGTTACTGCAGAGACCAGTAGTCGTACTGGTCTTAGCAAAACAGCATACAAGGCAGGTACTCTAACCACTGGACCACAAAGTCTATTACAAACCAGTAGTTGCCTAAAGCCGGGCGTACACTGTGCGACTTTTCCACTTTTTTGAGCCGATTTTCCAGTCGTGCGGGAATCCACGACATCGGGGCGAGTTTTGCGCCGAGCGGTCGTGTAGTGTACAGGGGGTTACGAGAAGCGATTAACACCACGTGACCAGCTGCCGATCAGCAGTCGTGAGGTCGCACGGACTTCTGGTGTGTTTAATATTTCGCTCGTCCCTCGTGAGGGTATCGCACCGTTGAAGCGGCGCTGCGAGCAGCTGCGACCCAAAATGTATCAGAACCGCTCACGGCGCATGCGCAATCCTGCATCAACGCCGCTCCCCGCTATTTCCCTAATAGCACACGTTGTTCGTTTTTGTTTCTACACGTTTTTTTTACTCACAAAGATTGTCAAGAAAGCGTGTTTGTCGTGTTCATGTCAAATTAAACTGATCACAAAACTCAGATTTACTTTCTTTATTTCGTTCATCCAACCCCTATAAATCCCTGTGTGTCCTCCTGCAGCACTCCTGAAGGACAACAGGCGAAACAAGACAAAAAAAGTCTGACGTGTTGAGTAAAAACTGCTATTTTTAGCATATTTTTAGGGCCGACGTGTTGCTACCAGATGTACAGTGTGAGCAGTCAGGTCGCATGCGAGAACTGGGTCGTACAGTGTGAGCGCATGACTCGTGAGATCTGCCCTGCGAGGAAGTCGTACAGTTTGAGCTGAAGCTGAGTGCTACGAGTGAAAAAGTCGCACAGTGTACGCCCGGCTTAAGACGCATGTTCTGTGCTGGCCATGATGTGTGTCTTTGTTGTGGTGCATTGTTTTTATGGTGGCGTCTTTTCCCCAGTGCAGAAGTAATTTGTCAGAATATACACTCTGGTACCAGTGGAGGTTTAATCAGTCATCTGTGACATGGAGGCCTTCTGCAGTCCTTTCCAAAAAAAATTAGAAAACTTGCAGCTGGGACAAGAAAATAACAGGCTGGTGGTATTTTTCATTTGGAAATAATATTTAGAAATAATATAAAAAGCCCCAAAAGTGGATTTAAAAACTTTTCATTTTTTTTGTTATTTCTTGTGTGAGAGCAGAGGTAAATTTAACCCTTCATATAATGTATGACATCCATCCTTGTTAAAATTGTTAATGTGTCGGCCCATCCCGATGCATGACCACCCTTCAGCTGTGGACACACACACGCACGCACACACACACGCACACACACACGCACAGAGTCAAACTCGTTCTCCGTTCTCCTTCTCCTAACAGATGTTGAACAGCTCTGCTAATGGAAAGTCAATGGGAAGGAACGTTGTTAGCAAACAACAATGCATTGTTCCCTCTAATGCATCAGGGTGTGTTTGAACACACACACACACACACACGCGCACACACACACACACACACACACACACACACACACACACACACACACACACACACAGTGACTGATATGCATTAGTTCTGCTCTATGATCATTGCTCATTTGGTTGATTCACTGGTTGATCATATTTCCTCTCTGTTGAACAAATAGGTGTTCATGTTAATTGAACCCATTTTAACACCTCTGAAGATCTGATTCAATAAAAGCAATAATATTTAGATCTGAGGACAGGACTCCCATGACCTGTCTCAGTATTACTAAGTTTAACAACTCAGGTTTAAATCCACACAGCAGTGATATTTTTATCTTCATTTAAAACCAGAGATGAGTGGACAGAGGCCATCCAGATGGTGGCCGACAAACTGCAGAGACAAGAGGAGGAGCGGATCAAGTGCAACCCCACCTCCAACATCGACAACATGGTCGAAGAGGAGATGGACATCTCCACCACGCACCACAAACGCAAGGTAAAACACACACAAGGAAATGCAGCAAGTGCAACATCTGAATTAATTTGCTGCTGCAACTGTTATAAAACATTTCAGTTTGCAGAATTAAAGATTTTATTTTCTATATTTTCCTCCCGATAGACAATGAGTGACTTTGACTATCTGAAGCTGCTGGGAAAAGGAACATTTGGTAAAGTGATTCTTGTCCGGGAAAAAGCCAGCGGGAAATATTACGCCATGAAAATCCTTAAAAAAGAAGTCATCATCGCCAAGGTTTGTCTGGCAATGGAGCATCTGCTGATGCTGGTAGCATTAACAGATGGACCACATAAAAAATGTTTTAATTTTTTAATTTTAGGTGACGTTTTAAATATCTGCATAGTTTTTAATAACAATTAGTAGAAACCTTCCAGCTGCTTTTTTAATGCAGTCATCACATCTTGTCTCTGCAGGATGAGGTGGCCCACACACTCACAGAGAGCAGAGTTCTGAAAAACACCAGACATCCTTTTCTCACTGTAAGTCCAATAAAACCCATGCATGAATGTAGAATAACCTACTTGGTCCAGTACTGAGTGTTTAGAGTCATCAGTCAGACCATGAGTTGCATTTACTGACCACATGTGTTAGCTTTGATGTGTGCAGACATTAACTTCCTCATATTTCCATCACACATACATGCACGCATGTTCACACTCAGTTTACCAAGGGAGCAATTACGCCTCACATCTGAGTTCACTCCTGTCACACCTGCAGCCACAAAGAGACTTTCACCAACTGTTCTTTTGTTTAGCAGCTTTCTGTCTCTAAAGAAAACACGTGCACACATTTATTTCACACACACACACACACACACACACACACACACACACACACACACACACACACACACACACGTTTTGCAGCACTTGCTTTGAACAATCAAACAGACGTAAACAGTCTGAAGCTAAGAACGATGGAGTTTTATTATGCCTCCTGTTTAACAGAGCAGACTTCCACCTGTGCTCATTGTTTACTGTATTGTGGGAGCAAATAGAGGACAAATAAACAATAAACTGGCAAAATTAAATCTGTGCAACAGATTGTCTCTATAATGCTACAGGAATGCATGTAAAATATGACACTTCTGTCTGTTGTTCTGTTGGATCATTGTGTCCTGTTATCAAATGCAGGCCTGTCTGAGTCTTTAAACTAAACTGAGTTGTGTTTCAGACACACATATAACATGTTTTGTGTGTTTATGTTTTCAGTCTTTGAAGTATTCATTCCAGACAAAAGACCGTCTCTGTTTTGTTATGGAGTACGTGAATGGAGGCGAGGTAAGACGCTGCGATGATGGTTTTGCTGTTTGTGGTTACGCATGTTTGTGTTACTGCTTTAAACATCCAGTTGAACCACAACTTCACCACAGTAACTGACAGCAATTAGAGTTCCTCCCATTCTACTATTGACTGGCTCGAAGCTGAAACTGACAGTGCCAAGACAAGATACGTGTTTGATAGCAGCTGTTTTTACACAAAATAAAGACATAGTCTAGATTTCAATTTCCTATACTGATATAAACCGATAACATGTTACAGACCCTCTTATTAAAAAGAAGAAAAGCTCAATCATTCTAAGTAACCAACATTGCATCTTTCGTCTTTCACGTTTAAATTTTTAACTATGAAAAATATGACGACTTCTTTAATCCAAGTTGGGCCAGTGTGTCCAAACAAAAATATCTCAAAAATCAAAGCTCAGATTTCACATTTTTACATTTTAAAGGGATACTTTGCAACTTTTATATATTTTAATTATTATCTTTATTTTCTTGAGCCAGTATGTGCTAAAATGAGCCTTTACAGAGTTAATAAAATGTCACTCAGACCCCCACCGCCCCCTGTGGCCAGAATACCGTATTTGCAACTTTAGAGTGCCGGTCTGGTCCTTCAGACTTTTCCTTTCCTGCATGTTTTAGATAATGAACACAGCTGATATGTTAAATTTGGTGATGAATCACTCCTGTAGACACTAATGAAGGCTTTGGAGACATTTCAGCTGTTATATTAAGGTGTTAAAAAGACAAACGCACTGCGAGGGGATGGATTTTGCTTTTGGTTCTACTAAACCGACACTAGGGGTGCTAAAACCAAGCCAAAACTGCCTAGTTCCCCTTTAAAGGAGTCATCACATGTTGCTACCATGGATATCTACATCATGTTATAGTCTTTTAGGCCATAAAAAAAATTAGTAATGGGAAAATTAATTTAAAAAGTGCTTTTCTGGCCATATTTCTAAAGGGCATGTTTTCTCGCAAGAGCACATGCGATATTTCGGCTGTGCCGAAAGTGTCAGTTGGAATCGTAGGATGTCCAAGGAAGATTCCGTCTTTCTCGCCTCAAACCAGCGTCTTCCTTTGCTAATTGCAGACTGTTCTCCTGTCACCGCCACTAGCAGAAAGCTGTTTTGGGGAGTTTTGTAAACAAACTGTGAACTTAGCGCGGCGAGAAAGACGGGACCTTCCTTGGACATACTACGATTCCAAATGACTAGTCCCGTCATGGTTGAAAAATAGTTCTAAAATTAAAGTTGAATCAACGACTTTTCTGGCCGTTAATGCAATGTCTTTTATTGTGTCTCATTTGGATGTTTAAAAATAAAAATGTGGGCTTCTTATTACTGTAACAAAAATAACATGTAAAAAAATGACAATCTGATGACCCAGCCTAGATTCAAACCCGGATCATCCGGGTACAAGTCAGGTGTCTTACTAGTTGAGCTATCCCTTTGACACATTTGCACTGACAATGTTTCTATCACTAAAATGATGTTAAAACCCAGCAAACGTTTGGATGCTTGATGACAGTTGACACGGCGTTAGTCCGATAAATGTTTGATATTTAAAAATTTGAACTATTATTACTATATTATCAAAGACAACTAGTTCCAAAATGAAAGTTGAAATAACTTCTTTTCTTGCTGTCATTTCTGGCAGCAGAGCAGTGCGGGCTAACACGCCATTGCTCTGCACTGTCCATATATGGTACTGTACATCCTGCCTTTGTGACGACAATAAAGGCCAGAACTCAGGTCTCGTTTTGGAGTGCGCGCGCTCGTGGGGTGCACGTGGGCTGGTTGAGGAAGCCAAGAGTAAACAACAATCCAATATTAAATAGTGACTTTCTGGCCAGTGAAAACTCGTTAGGAAGCCGTTATGTACACAAGTGGAAAAGTGAACATTTTCGGTGATGACTCTTTTAAGGAGACATATTTCACACTAAATGCATGTCATTAACGGTGCAGATCGCATAGGTGCTTTCACTTTTGTTCACGCTAATTTACAAAAATATAAATGGTTTCACTTAACTGTTTGTGTTCACCCCTCTAAATATGGTCACATGGCATCTGTGCAGAGAGACGTAGTTAGAGTTTAGGGCTTTGTGAAGTAGACAGATCATCATTAAAGCTGCACAATGATCACTTGATGAAGCCTCTCCATGCTCAGTGAATTAATGGCGTAGATCAGTCAGGAGAAGGGCCTTAAACATCTACAAAGTGCTGAATGAGACAGTATTTTTCAGTTGTGACTGTGTGCATCTGCATCAACAACAACAATGTGCAACACTTGAAGATGTGATGAAAGTTTGACTGTTGGATAACTTTTTTATTAGTTAATTTGCCAACAACCAACTGGCCTCTCTTCATCTTTCTTTTGTCTTCCATTCCTCTCCTGCTTGTGTTCATTTATGAAAGCACCTATGGGGCAAATATAGCCAGAATGACAGTCAGAGATGAATGAGTTTGGATTCCTTCACTTTTCCATTCCTCTCATTTTTAATCGGCCCGTTTTTGCAATCTTGGTTCATTCCCTTAGTGTAACTGTCACCTGCTCCCCTCCCAGTTAGTTATGCAGTCCAGCCAGTGCCAGGCACACACACACACACACCTAGACAAACACACGGAGGAAATTTTTACCTCAGTGGACAAATTGTGACCATGCATGCCACAAAAACACACACATACACAACCCATTACAAACCTGCCACAGTCACAGCTGCCAGTGCACTGATGAAGGCCCACCTGTCGTGTTACCTCCCTCTCCACACACACACGCACACACGCGCTCGCACGCGGACAGTCTGTGAGCAAGGTGGTCTCTGAGCATCACTCCAGTGTCCATATGCAAACCTCCCTGAACAATTAATGTGGAGATGTGTGCCCCTTGGCCTCATGGGTAATATGTACAACCTGACTGGTTTAGCACAGCAGGCTGGTGTCATTACTGTGCCACATGTGTAGCCGTGTGGCAGTGACGACTTGACAACTGACAGCGAGGAGGAGAAAGCATTGTGTGAGGGGAGAGACTAAAGATCAAGGCAGGGAGGAGGTTAGGTCAGCTCGACGTGAAAAAAAAAACTTATTAGCCTTTTGAAAGAAGTGGGGTGTAGGAAATGAAGATGGAGGCTCAGGGGCAAGGCCAGTTAGGCCTCCAATGAGTGGTGCTCTGGGGCAGTAGGGTGAGGGTGGTGGTGTTGGCTGCAGCGGGGGTCGTTCTGTCTTTAACTAGACTGCCGTATTGATTTGGCCCCCATCGCCATGGCTCCTCGTCTGCATCATGCCAATGCAGCCCAGAGGGTAACATGGAAGAAATCTGTGTGGTAAGGAAGGAGGGGGTGACTGCTAGATGAGGCGCCAGCTGCTGGGTGCCTCCACCCGCCCCTCTCCGAGATGCCACCCCCTCTCTGTACACACACACACACACACACACACACACACACACACCACTCACACTCCCCTCCACTATCTATCATCTCAATATGGTGCAAGCAGCCAGTTTGTGTTGTGCTAATTTCTTCCAGTAAATCAGTAATTATTGCTGTGCCATCCCTGCTGTCTTCCCCCTTCTTCTCTCCCTCTCACCCTCTCTTGTTCTCCCTCCTTTTCCTGCAGCTGTTTTTCCATTTGTCCAGAGAGCGAGTGTTTTCGGAAGAGCGCACGCGCTTCTACGGCGCAGAGATCGTCTCAGCCCTCGACTACCTGCATTCAGCCAAGATAGTGTACCGGGACCTCAAGGTAAACAGAACCAGAGGAGGCAGGCTTAGGGGCATGGATGAGATCGACCAAATATTTTAAAGGAGGGGAGTTTCTTTGGTTTGTTTCTGATGCCTCTGATCGCTTCCCTTTTTTTCGTCATCCTTTTGGAGGTGACTGGCTCGGAAAGTGTTGTAATTAAAAAGTGGGCCAGAAACGAGCTCAAACAGACACAGAGCAGTAAAGAAATGCAGAAGGTGGAGGCGGGCTGGGGGAGAGGGGTGGAAGGGGAGGAGGGAGGTGCTGATGCCACAGAGGTAGATGTCTGCCTGCCTGGCAGCCTTGGCCCCGGCCCTGCTAACAGCAGCCAAGAAAACGGCTGAAAAAGCAGACATGGAGTGAGAAAAACACTCCAACCATTAAAATTAAAAGGTTGAGTGGCTCCACAACACGCCTGAAGTTTATTTCCCTCATTTCCTCAGAGTTGTGTGTGTGTGTGTGTGTGTGTGTGTGTGTGTGTGTGTGTGTGTGTGTGTGTGTGTGTGTGTGTTTGTGTGTGTGTGTGTGTGTGTGTGTGTGTGTGTGTGTGTGTTCTACCTCTGCTCTTTTGGCTCCACTCTCCACTAAATTAGCACCTACTGATTTTCAGTCATGCACCATGACGATGAGATGCTTCTTTTGTTTTCCCTTCAGTTAGAGAACCTGATGCTGGACAAAGACGGCCATATGAAGATCACTGATTTTGGACTCTGCAAGGAGGGCATCACTGATGCTGCAACCATGAAGACCTTCTGTGGGACGCCAGAATACCTTGCACCTGAGGTAAAACCAGTTTTCACCGGTCCAGACCAGTACAGACACCTGCAGACACTCTAGGTAAACATTCTAGCTAACACAAGAGCGAGGCCAGGCGACTCACATGAGGAGACTGAGAGCGCTCCAGAATGTTTTGAGACATTTTAGAAGCAGCCACAGTCCAGTGGAATACTGTTGTTAGTGTTAAATGTCTAAAAGTTTCGTTTCTTTGTAATCACCGTTCACCTTTGTACATTCGTGTTGCTTTTCTACTGTCCTTTTCCTTTTTAGTGTGTTTTATTAGCCGTTTTAATTCACCTTTAGGTGGAAAATATGAGAAGTAATGCTGATAAAATACTAAATGTGTAAAAACTGTTGAAATTCATCTTTTTTAATTTTATATTACAGATAATATAAGAAAATGTTAAGAAAAAACATGTTCTAAAGGGAATAAAACTGGGTGGTTAGAGGGTGACACAGGAATGGATTTTCTTTGCTTTCCCAACACGTTGAAAAAAATCCTCTTGTCCCAATCCCAAAAATCTAGGAAAAATATTATTACCTCTCATCCCAATCCCAATAAAATAAATCCCACTCCCTCCCAGCCCCAGCAGGTGCTTTTTAAGGTATGGTGATTCTAAACAGAACCAAAAAACAATCACATTTTGGACTGTAGAGGTCCGCTTGTGCCAGAGGTAGGGGTAAACTTTACACATTACATGTCTGACCAATGGCGTGAGGTGTTTCCACTCCGTCACTGACAACTCCTAGAAAACTGTGTCAAATTTCAGACTTCCCTGACAGTGTTCGTGGTGGTGGGGCATTTTTCCCCTTAATTCGCTCCTCCAACTCATCTCTGTTTCTGTCCATGTTGTCACATGTGGTGACTCGATGCTACACATTGTGAGATGACATTTGGCGCTGGTCATGTGACCTATAGTGACAATTCAGTCGCCAGTCAGAAAGATCAGACAGAACTAAATGTAAATTAAAAAGACACATTATTTCATTTAAAGGAAAAGCATTTCTAATTGAACAGAAATCTAAATGTATTTTTTATTCCCACTCTTGCCCACTCCTGTTTTCTCCTAGTAACACAATAAAAAACAACTCAACTCCTGTTTCACAGAATCCTGTAGGACTCACGTGATCCACTGGGATCCCAAAAAATTGTCAGCCATCCATCTCATTTCTGCCAGTGATAGGTTTTAGGAATTATATATGCCTAAAATGAGTGGTTTCAAAAAGTTCATGTTTGTGACATCACAATATGATTAATAATGGTAAATAAATGTCAAACATAAAGCTGCTGAAATCGCTTTTATGTAAGACCATGGAACTACAGTTTGTTTAAAGTGACAGTGTGTAGTTTCCCTGGCGATAGAGGGCAGTACATACCTAAATCATTGCAAGCAAGCATTACTTTTGTGTTCAAGTAAGATCTTAAAGGGACTATAAGGAAGTTTGACAGCCAAAACATGTGTAGAAATAATAAATTTCTTCTTCATACATTCTCCTGCAATGCTCTGGTCCTGTAGAATGAGCCCTGGCATTTTTACTGTGATTGCCTGTTTTTCTGTAAAATCACAGAAAAAGAGAGCTGCTCGGGTCGAGCAGGCTGCTTCATGCACGTTCACGCTCAGGCATAGCCCGTAGCATTTGCTATCAGTAGCTTTAGCAGCAGAGAGAGAGAGAGGCAGTGCCACTTTGTCGCTGTTCCTAACGCCTAGTGACAAAGCTAGCTACATTTCTGAGGACTCTTAGCTACTTTTTCTGTAGAACTTTCTTCTAGATATTTCCTGCAAATTAGCAACAAAATAGCCATTTTCGCTCCGAACCGTTCTTTGGATTGACGTTGTTTCAGCTGTCATCACGGATATAAATGTTACAGATACAAAGGACATCACTGGCGCTTTAGCCCAGTAAGACATCGGACTCTCCATGAAGATCCGTGCTCGATTCTGGATGTGAACATAGTTTATTTAGAGTTTCTTTTTTACATTAATGGTATATTTTTTTTACAGTAAGATGCCCAAATTTTTATTTGAGACTCGCCGAACGGCATTGAATTCACAGATAAAAAAGATGTGGGTTCAACTTTCATTTTGGAACAATTTTTCAAGCAAAGGAAGGGAATGATCTGAGCATGCAGGAGGACTGACCCATCATAAACCTTTGTCGGCTGTGCTGAAGAGAAAGGTACAGAACCAAATTATTTAATTAATTAGCTGCGCGTTCTCCTGTCCTCTGTCCTCTGGGCCACACACACACACACACACACACACACACACACACACACACACACACACACACACAAGGGACTGTCTCAGCAGTTATTTTCGTTAAGGAGTGTGCACGTACAGCATGCGCGCCTCGTGCACAAGCCTACTGAAGCTGCCGTTACGCTTTTGGCCTGAGGGGGCAATCGCGAACATAAAAATTCAAAAGTCCGAAAAGTCCCTTTAACAACGGATGGCCATTAGGGTGAAAAATCTCTAGAAGAACAACTCCCAGCAAAATAACAAACACATCAGACTCTCTTCCACCACTGGCAACGAGTGAAGAGGAAAATGTGTGAAACAGCAACGTTTGTTATTGGTGAAAGCTTTTTAACCGTTTGTTACAAATCAGTAAATGCATTTTTTCCTCACCGGCTTCCGTAGAAGGAAACATGGCATCCAATATGGCGTCGCCCAGAGACTTACACCTTCTCCCATGTATTTTAGAACAGATTTTTTATGGTTCTATGTTATGAAACTGCCAATATTTTTCCATCAACTTGGCATCTTTTAATTCATTTACAACAACATTTCGATGGATATTTCTAGAGATTGATGGTAAAAACTACACATTGTGACTTTAGGTTCAATATAGCCCTTATTTAATGCAAAAACCTGATGTTGCTCTGTTAAAAGTATTTAAGAGTCTGGTGTGACCAAATGTTGATGAATTTAGGGATGACCTTGACGAAACTTGTTCTCCAGAATGCTTTAATCGATTGATGAGTGCCACAAATGTCAGCTACTAACTGTCGTGTTTTATAAACTGAGCAGATTGACTGAGGCCTTGTACGACATAAAAGCATCTGTGGCATCAACAGGTGGCCTGTCCATTAGGCAGCATTTCTGCAGCGCTCATGGCTTCACCAGAATGGCCCTCGTGTTCTGTGGGAACAGTGTCGCCCGCTGCACAGCGCCTGTTCACCTAACAGCAGCCCCGGCTGATCGCTGCAACCACCAGGATTGGTTCTGATCTTTGATAAATGCCTGTAAGCTCAGGGAAGAACTGCAGGAGCTGCAAATAGAGCTTACACACACACACACACATTCTCCCTCTCTCTCTCCCAGACCCTCTCCGTAACACTGCGAGTTCTGTTAGGATGCTTGAATAGTGGGAACTTGTGCATGTACGTATTTTTTTTTATTTTCAGATTTCACAGGAGAATAATTTCCATAATATCAGGGTGAGCAGTAAATATGCAGCTTGTGAGTGTGAAAGAGGGTGTTGGTTTAAGTGGAAAAGGGCACAGCACAGCGTTCGCACACACAAAGCCACATTCTTGTGATCATCATCTGCAGCCGTGCGCTGTCCAGTCGTCAGCGCTGCCTCACTAGGAGGCCAGAAGATCAACTGGCTGACTAGGTGGTGGAGATGGAGCGGCGGAGATGTGGAGATGAAGAAGATAGGAGAGAGGCAGAATATATATCCCACTCAAAAAAAAAAGTATGGAGGACAATTTGGCGCAACATTTTGTGCTTTTTTTTTTATGGAGTCCCTTCCTTTGCGTGCCAAAAGCTGATTGGAGGCTGTTGGTTATTTTTCACAGGATGTGCGTCTGTGTGCATTTATGTGTGTGTGTGTTATTGCTGTAGAAAGTGCGGGCTAAAGCGAGGCAGATGGCGGCAGATGGGCGAGGTTGGAGGAAGGTGCTCGGAAAAGAAAAAAAAAACCTGGAAATCTACACCACCGCCACTCGCCCGCCCGCCCGCACGCTCTGCTCGCCCGCGTGTAAAAATAACACAGTTTGCTCTGAGCCAAGTTAAAGAGATGCAAAGTAGCTGGGATTAAAAGAGAAAAAAGGGGGGATGGGGGCTTGAAGACAGGAAGATGAGAAAGGAGAGAAAATATTTCAGGGTTACAGGAGTGGAATTCAGACTGTTCCTGTGTTTGCCGTCAGTGAAGAAGGGCAGATGAGAAGAGAAGGAACTCAGATTAATCAAAACATAGAATCCTTCGTTTGCTGAAGATGTAAAGTGTTAAAATGAGGTGTTGTTTGCTTCAAACGTGACAAAATAAAAGAATAAAGTGAGATTATTGAACAATAACCAAAAGGTCCCTGCAGAAGGAGAGAACAAGATCGCAGAAAACACATGGGGAGTGTTTTCTCTGTTGTTGTTTCCATATTTGTGTGTGTGTGTGTGTGTGTGTGTGTGTGTGTGACACATTTCTTTGTGGCAATTTAGAAAGTGTTAAAAGGGGGTGGATTTGGTCTTTTTCCATCTATTTGTGTGTTTTTATTTGGTTTTGAGTGCCTGTATATGTCGGGCGTTGACCTTTTTACTGTAAATGTTTTACAAACATAGAAGCACAGTCAGCTGTTAGTGGAACACTTCAAAATGTTAGCAGATTGTCAGGATAAACCCGTTTCCAAATTATGACACTGTGGAGATAGAAGGTCTGTGTCTGACATCAGCAATATGGGATTGTATGGCCGCAGTATAGGAGGTGCGTATGTGTGATTGTGTTCCCTGCTGGCTATCTGGGCTGGTGCAGCCACAGGCTATGTGTGCTTGTCCCATCCCACGTAGTCTGGTCCAGGCTGCCAAAGCCCCCGTCCTGCGAGCAGCAGCTAGCTGCCACATGGCTGCTCAAACAGGGACCAGGACGGGTCAAGACCTCCTCCATCACTGCTGCTTTTAATCTCCTCCTCGATCCGCTCCTCTTCTCCTCTCCTGCCGGTGATCTAAATTGGATGTTACTGTCTCGTCCTATTTATTTGTTAGCTTTATTTGTTTAAATTACACACACACACACACACACACACACACACACACACACACACACACACACACACACACACACACACACAATATTGCCTCCATGCCTGCGGCTATAGGGCAGCATTCTGGCTCTGTGTGGATTAATCTGCTCCCTGCCTGCAACCGAGCTGCCACCACCTTCTTTGGTCCTGGGTCTCACACACACACACACACACACACACACACACACACACACACACACACACGCACGCACGCACACACACACACACACACGCACACACACACACACACACACACACACAGAGAGAACAGATGTATTTGTATACATTTAGTTTTCTATACAAAGACAGTTCACACCGCTCACTAGATCAGCACCAAAAGCAGCCTTCTTCTGAGCTGCTCTGAATTTCATAAACCACACACTCGCCGTGTGTGCACTGAAACAACACCAAACATCTCCTAGTTTGCCTCACTCTCAAAACTTTATGAATTTGATGAGGTCGGATAAATATTCCATCTGCCGTGTGTGTGAGTGTGTGTGTCTGACAGTCTCCCAGCAGTCTAAGCCAGTGTTATCCCTCCAGCCGTACCAGTCAGTAGTATATCTGGAGCTGGCGGCACGCTTCATTCCCCCAGCTCTTCTCTGCAGCTGCCAACTGGGTGACCAGCTTAATTCTCGCACAAACATATTCACACACAAAATAGCACTTTTAACTCTCTTATTTACTTTTGTGTGCACACATGCAGACTGAAGAAGCGTGCATCATTAGCTAGATTAATGTCAAGTCTGTGAGCTGATTCCGTTAATGACCAACAGTTTTGGGAGACATTGGGAAACTTGCAGGCAGCTGTTTGCTGCTTTTTTTATCTTTATGCAACTTTAAGCAATATTTTGGGTTGAGGAGTTTATTCAGATTCTGACATTAGAAGGGAAAAGAAATGACTAAGTCGTTTCTGGGACTACATTTGCTGTGCAACACTCAATGCACCTCAGTAATGTCTACTTTAAAGATGCAGATGTTTAAAATGCCAGACCAGACACTTGAAGACTTCCGTATTTATATATTGAAGTTTTTTCAATTATTATTATAATTTATTTGTTGTGAATGCATTTTTAAGTATGCAATCTTTTTAAGCCATGTGAAGGTTAGGGTTAGGTCTCCTTATTATATAATCTTAAAATATAGGAAAATTAATCATTTACAATAAAAAACAAAACTTTACATACAACCAATAAGTCTGGGAAATAAAAGATTTATTAGATACAATTTTTAGTCTAGTGGGAAGACATTTCATTTAGTAATGTGTCGGTTTTCAGTGTAAAATCAGAGATCCCTGTTCTTTACATTGAAGTGACTTTTTTTGTTTGTTTGTTTTGCAGAAACATAAAATCCTGAAGTTTGGATAAATGAGTGTCTGTCCTCTTCCGTCTCAGCTGTATTTATGTATTTATGACACCTGTCCTGTCTGCATCCTGACGTATTTTGTTGAGACTCGTCCTATTAGGGCATGCAGCGCGTAATTGTCTGCTGTAATTGAGAATTGTCGTTTAAACAGGTTTTATGTGAGTGTGTTTGTGAATGTTTGCATTCATGTGTCTGACTGGCCCATTAGCTGAGTGAGATGTTATTATTATTGGCGTGATGTACAACATATGTTGTTCTGGCTGCTCTCCAGCTCTGTCTGTCTGTCAGTCAGTCACGCACACACACACACACACACACACACACACACACACACACACACACGCACACACACACACACACACACACACACACACACACACACACACACACATGCGTAGACTCAGCATGTTAATAAGCTGATAATGGTAATGAGGGAGTCAGCAGCACCTGAACTACATCCCTTCAGCTTCCCTTTTTCTCCAGCAAACGGGCACCGTTGAGGATGAAAGAGACGTCGCGAGTCAGGGAAGGTTTGATTAGAGGACGAAGGAGGCAGGATGAGACAGGATGCGGGGGAAGTGCACGGAGAGCAGGCAGTAGAGAGGAATCGGAAGATTGCCCAGATAAAGCTGAGTACCTGTGCGACCAGCTTGGAGGTTGAACCGGCCCTGACTCAGGTTGCGAGCTGTTCCTGCCTTTTCCATCCAGGAGTATTCCTGTTTGTTCCTGCCAGGGGGGGATCAGTGTGCCAGGGAGAACTGGCAGCTTCCAATGGGGCATCTGGTGGGCCACGCCAGCACGCCGACTCCTTTACTGTAATAGAGGTATCTTAGGAGCTGAAGACTTCACATGATGTTTGCCTCTGTTCACTATTTTCACTGTCTTCCTTTTTCCTCCACCGCCCCACCAGACAGCCGATGACATAAAAACAGAAAGAATAGTGTATTCTTTGCCTTTTGCTGTCCTCAGGTCCTGGAGGACAACGACTACGGTCGGGCCGTGGACTGGTGGGGTTTAGGGGTTGTGACGTATGAGATGATGTGTGGCCGACTGCCGTTTTACAACCAGGACCACGAAAAGCTGTTTGAGCTCATCCTCATGGAGGACATCAAGTTCCCACGCACTTTGTCAGCCGATGCCAAGTCGCTGCTGTCCGGCCTGCTCATCAAAGACCCAAATAAAAGGTGCACCATGCAGCCCCATAAGAATTTGTTTAGATTCAAAATAACTTACTTTAATTTAAGGATTGATCATTTCTATGAGGGACTTTCAAGTAGTTCTATCTTAAATTCTCAAAGCCTTCTTTTCAATTTTACAGTGTGATGTTTTGGGCAGCCTTGGTAATCTTTATGATTTTGCTTGGTTTTTACGATCAAAAAAATCTGTAAAATGTATCATAAAGGAGACACACACAGTGATATTTGAGAAGTGACATGAAATATATAGAAAGTAGGGATGCACCGATACCGATATCGCTACAATATAGCACTGATACTGGTATCGGTATCGTAAAAGTGAACCGATACCAGGAACTGATACCAATGCAGTTGCTTTCAAGTGGATTCACTGTAACTTTTCATTTCTGTTCACCTGATATTTTAGTTTTGTGATCATTTCTGTTAATATATTTTATTTTTTATCTACCTCACAGTCTTTTCCTGTTGAAAGCAGAGAAGAAAATAAAACCTGGACTCCAATCCATTGCATTTTTATGTGTGGTAGAAGTATCGGTATTGATCATCGGTAATGGCGAGTACTCAGATCCAAGTATCGGTATCGTATTGGTTTGGCAAAAAAGTGGCATCGTTGCATCCCTAATAGAAAGTGTGCAACAATTGTTTAAACTTAGGCAAGTGCAGAAATTTGGGCACCACGAAAAAGAAGAAAAGGCTTCCTCTGCATCACTCTTGCGTACAGCATCTCCTTGTGTAAAGTGCGCTAAATAGTTGAACGATGCAAGTTGACTCCATCTGTAGGAAGAGTGCTGGTCTGCGGGTTGATTCTGACTGTTCTCACCATTCTTAGCTTCTGTTTGTCTGAGATTTTTCTTGGTCTGCCACTTGGAGCCTTTACCTGAACTGTCCCTGTGGTCTTCCATTTCCTCAGTATGTTCCTAACTGTGGAAACACACAGCTGAAATCTCTGAGACAGCTTTCTGTATCCTTCCCCAAACTATGATGGTGAACAATCTTTGTTGTCAGCTCATTTCAGAGTTGTTTTGTTGTTGCTACTCTTAAGAGAATATTCAGAGATATATACATGGAACTTAGAGCCAACGGGTGTAGATAACTACCTGAGCAAACCCAGAGCTAACTGAGGTTTTTGAAGCACACATCTACACAAAGAGCTGCGGTTTTTCTTTGGAACCCTCAAAGAGCTCCACAGGCAGTCAGGACTTTACTTACTGATAAAAAAAAACTTCTTGGATGATCTGATGATCAAAACCACAACTTGCCTTTCTTTGTCCAAATAATTCCAGAATTTAAATCCTAACACAAACACACAGATCACACAACTAAAGTTCAGAGAGTAAAAATGGCCAAATATCTGTTAACGTGAGTCCAAGGCTGAGGCCTTCCCGGACTTAGCCGCTAGTGCTAGCTCAGACGGCTAATATTACCTGTCAGTCAAATCTAATTATTTATAATGTCAAGGATTTAATTACACCTAAATGGAAGAGCTACAAAAAATCACCCCCCTCATGTCATGACTACTGTAAACTAGGTTGCCCCTTGCAACAGTCAAACATGGGGGTAGTCATGTGATGGTCTGGGGCTGCTTTACTTCTTTACTGCTTCATGATCACTTGCTGTAACTGATGAAAATGATGAGTTTGCTAATCTGAAACAAGCCAATTTATGTTTTTTTTTTTTTGTTTTTGTTTTCATTTGGCCTAAAGTTTGTTCTGTTGAACCAGTTTTGTTTTTCATCTCTCTGCCTGTCTGTCTGTCTGTTCACCCAACCAGGCTTGGGGGAGGGCCAGATGATGCTAAAGAGATAATGAGACACAGCTTCTTCACTGGCGTAGACTGGCTGGATGTTTACGATAAAAAGGTAAAACCAAAATGGTTTGCACTGGTTTTTCACTGATCTACATCTACATCTAGATTTTGAACTTCTTCTGCTAAATTTTGCACCTGAGTCATATCTACATGTGCTGTAATTGTGCATTGAATGTATTTATACAGAAGGTGTCGTGTGACACTCGTATGCCGGCACGAATCAAAGCAAGCCGGCAGCTGTGTAAAGAACGGGGCATTATGAGGAGGTGTGACTTTGTATCCTAAGAATCCGTTATTCTGTACTTGTGTCTGCTCACATAACACCATCGAGTGAGAGTCGTGTCCTGTGTGGCAACACCTACAGCTTCTTACACAGGTGCTGAGCTTCTTTGCTGCACTTTGCCTTGTTTTTTACAGCAATCTGGGTTTGAGTTAGAACGCATCAACGCAAAAACCAGAGTCACTGATGGTGTGAGGACCTCAGGAGTTATTAGTAAAATATTTCCACGTTCTTCAAGCAGCTCCTGTATGACAACATTTTGCCGACATGACTCTGATCTGCCCACGTTTTTGTCCCAGCTCATCCCCCCCTTCAAGCCTCAGGTCACGTCGGAGACCGACACCAGGTACTTTGACGAGGAATTCACAGCTCAGACCATCACAATCACTCCACCAGAGAAATGTGAGTCTCTTTTGTGTCTTAATTCTCCCAAACGGTAAAGTTGGTCTAGCTGCAGCTTAGTTTTAATGGACACAGTATTTACATTCAAATAAACCACGAGAGTTAAAACTGCATGTGCCATTGTTTGTTTATTCTCCTTATGATTAGTCCTCCAGCCACAAACAGCTCTTCACAGAGTTCTGAGATAAAGCTAGAGCTGAACGCTGAATTATGCATGAGCGGATCGGAGGTGTTTCTCTGTGCTTAGGTGGCGTTCCACTTGTTTTGTAGGTCACACGTCACTTTGCAGTAGATTGACACATCAGATGCTCGCTTAATTGAATTTCGTGTGTTTCCACAGTTCAAGAAACAAAACAGAATACTAATCACGGAACATGTTGAAATATATGTTCACGGATATTTAAAACGTCACTCACCTTGGAGTTTGGGTTCCTTCTTTCCTAGTTGACGAGGACGGGATGGATTGTCTGGACAATGAGAGGCGGCCCCACTTCCCACAGTTCTCCTACTCCGCCAGCGGGCGAGAATGAACTGTCCATCATGGTGACACCATCACAGCTGGTCTCTGAGGTCATCAGAGCGGGACACAAAGACCCACGGCTTTGGATCGACCCAGACTTGAAGGATTTTGTCCTTTTCCTCCATTCCTTCTCTTTTCACCTCTCCAGTCTCCATCTTTATTTATTTATTTATTTGCTAGTATTTTTGTTTCTCCCTTCAGAGACTAAATAATAATCGGTCTAATCTCACACCACGGGCCCAGGCATGTTTGTCTAACCGTGACAAGATCTGTTGCTATTTAATGACCCTTTAACGGCAGGAGCTTCACCAGCAGCCTGCTGCTGTGCTCTGATGTATGTTCGTCTTCCCAAACCTTTAAAAGAGAAAACCCCAAACACCTCTGAAGCAGTTCGATATTAGCCGGTGCATTTTTACGTAGGTGTTTTTGTAGTTTCTTATCTATCTGTGAGACAGAGATACAGCGTTTTAAGTCGTTTTAACCCAAACTGCCATTGCAGGTTGTATCTCAGGCTTTTGCAAACACAGACTCCAAATCCTCAGCTCAGTGATTCTGGGATTGATTGAGCACCTGTGATCAGAAAACTCCACTCCTCATGTGGTCAAGCAGGATTTGACTCAGGTGTTGCTCAGGCATTGTTGTTGCTGCTATTCCAACTACAACCACAACTACTACAGGTATGACTACTACTACTACTGCTCTTCTACTGCTACTAGTAAAATCCGGTGCTACACTGTTGGCTAAATGCTGCGAGTCATTAGCGCCAGTGAACTTCCTGTATCGACATCTACGCTAGCACAGCTGCAGAATGGCTGCTACTTTAATGTACAGCTCCTACGCGTCGCCCCTGAAGTCAACATATCACGTGTGTTTGTGTGTGTAAGGTCCAGTCACGGGTTTGACGGACAACACACCTCACAGCACAGCAGCTCCCACAGATGAGGCTCCCAAAGAAACGAGCTTTAATACATTACCCACAGTGCAGTGCAAGGTGGTCGAAGATCGGTCGGCAAAGGTGAAAATATGAATGTTCTCCCCGCTTTTTAAAATTTTTTATTAATTTTTTTGTCCCAAAAAGGGAAATTGAAAGGGTACCTTGTACAAAAAGCTTTACTGTGACATATTATCACAGCGGGAATCCACACGGCCGTACCTCCCTGTGTCTGTGCAGGAAAGGAAGCTGAACGGGGAGTTGGGAATGTCGGGGAGGGTTACTGGTCACGAGAGGAGCGTCCAGAAAAGATGCAATATTAGATGTTTATAATGTGATGAATGACGATGTACTGGTGAGCAGTAAGCTGACGAGTTACATCTCCGGTTTTCTGCAAGTTTCTTAAGAAAGTTTAAAAATCTAAAGAAAAAAACGTCTGTGAGGAAGTAAAGGGTTTACAAGAACCACAGCTAAGGCTATATATGTTTTATTTATTGCTCCTCACAATGGTTTTATATTTTACCTTTTCTACTGTTATTACATTATTTAAAAAAATTATTTCTAATGTTTTGAGAGAGGAAAAAATGCACCTCAAGAAACAAAAATGGCTGAAGAATGTAGGGAAAGCAGATAGCCTTCCTGCTCCACCGTTTAGGTTTTGATTTTGTGTGACCAAAATGGGACTGGGAAGTGACAGGACACATTAAAGATGGCGGATCTGGATCCTAATCATGTTGCTGCAGCAGAGTTGAAAGAAAATGGAGACGTGAAAGTTGAGCAGAAAGAAAACGAGTAAAGCACAAAAATGGGAGTGCGAAGGAGAGATTAGAGGAGTAAGTGTTAGAGTTAGAAGTGTGTGGAGAAGAGGGGTGAAGAAAGTCATCAGATTAAAATCTGCCGCTTTTAACGTGTGCCGTCATTTCTCCGGTCTGGACTTTTATTTTTACTTTTTTGCATTGTCATGTCTTCCAGTAAGACCGTTAAGATTTAAAAACAGTCCCCTCAAGTTCTCTGTCTTCAACCGCCGGGTAAGCCGTACGGTTTTGCTCAGAATAGAGATGTTTTAAAACCACAGCACAACTTCATGTAAGAAAAAATGTCTGTCGTTTGGAAAACTCTTTCTGGGGGCTGATGCAGCTAGAAAGAGGGCATTGGGGGATGTGTTTTTATTAGGTACCAAATATGTACTCGAGTATATTTATTTAAATGTTTTTAACTTTTATCATCGAAGAATAACTAGAATTTATTTTCTATGTAATTTATTTGTTGTTTTTTTGTTTGTTTTGCTGTTTCGCAGCGGTCATTTCGTTCTAAAACTTTTTTCATTACAGATGTCTTAAACAACCTAGTACCCATTTTTCTGCTGCTCTTAAGTCCACATGCTTCACCGTGGCACAACCATTAAACTACTAATCGCAACGCTTTATGGCAGAAAAAAAAAGGATGGCGCTGGCCTGCATGCTGTAGTCCTCCTCTGTCTGCACCGCCTGTCTCGAGTCAAAGTGGCACTCAGAACTCTGATGAAAAATACTTCTCTGTGATCGACTGAGTCTGTCTGACTCCTCTGAAGCAGCGGGAAAAGTTCTAAATGAGGCCAAATCCCACCCAACTGGCACCCCTGACAGGCTCAAGAAAGTGCTCGCAAGTATTTGGAAGGATTTCAGCTTTGATCTGACCCGGTTCTGCGGGTGGCGGAGGAGTTCTAGCTGTATGCGCACGTGTAACGCCAAAAATCATTAGGAACCAGAGTTCATAAAACAGCTTTGTAGTTTCGAACACAGCACTTTTCACACCCATCACTTTTGATATGGTTCAGTCGAATCCAGTTCAGCCCTGCTTAAAAGAAAATATTTTTAGCTTTTTTATTTACGTTTTGTAAGAAAGACTTTTAACTATAGAGAAATGCCCTCCGCTAAGCTTTGATGCTGCTCTGATGTGTAGATTTGACAAGATATGGATGAAGTGTCGAGCCTCGTCTACTGTAAAACAGCAAGGTTTTTAAACTAAAGCGATACTGTAACCCATCAATCATTGCGCCAATCTGTGGTTTAAAAGGTTTCCCCTCCAACGACATTTGGGATTCAGAGCTGTTGAAGATCTGCAGATGTTAGGAGGAGGAGATGGTGAGGCTGTCTGATTTTCTGTGGAAGTCCCTCCAGGATCTGAGACAGTATTTAGGAAAACTCAGAGGAATCCCAGAGAAGTTCAGCCTTTTCCTGTCCTTCATGCTGTGAGGATGCACTGGCCTGAGAGGCCACGAGGATGTGAAAACAACAGATTACCATCAACATGGAGCTGTTTTTTACACTGTACATCCTTAGTATTTTTACACATCAAACGTATGATAGGGATGCACATTATTTTCCTTCTTACGGACAGCTTCAATAAAGCATTATGTCAATCTGCTGCAGTGTGTCCGCTTCTTACAAGAACTTGTTTAATTAGGTTTCACTTGGATTTTTATGCATTTTGATGACTGTAAACCTTACTTTTTAAAACTTTTTCCACATTTATGATATGATTGGGTGGCTCCTCCCCATGTTGTCTGTCTAGTTGAGCTTTTCTTGTTTGCATGTTTCCAAAATGTAGAGATCGTCACATCTTCCTCAAGCTGTGTGAAAGCAAACAGCTGAAATGAGGTTTCTCAGCAGGGTGGCTGGGCTCCCCCAGTAGAGATAGGGTGAGAAGCTCGGTCATCCAGGGGGGGCTCGGCGTAGATCCGCTGCTCCTCCACATCCAGAGAAGCCAGTTGAGGTGGCTCGGGCATCTGATTAAGATGCCTCCTGGCCACCTCCCAGGTGAGGTTTTTCAGGCATGTTCAACCGGGAAGAGACCTAAAGGTAGACCCAGGACACACTGGAGGGACTATGTCTCTCAGTTGGCGGGAACGCCTTGGGATCCTCCCGGAGGAGCTAGGCCAAGTGGCCAGGGAGAGGGAAGTCTGGGCTGCTGCCCCCACGACCCGACTCTGGATATGCAGCTGTTTGAAGGCCTGTGCTACCATTTTCCTTTGAAAAGAACTATAAATAATAAATCATCTGAGGTTTAATTGAGTCAAATGTTAGGAACACATGAGAAAATTAAGATGCTAAAATAATGAGAACTCCTAAAGATGCCATTTTAATTATATTTATTAATGTGAAAAACCGCATTAGGCACCACTCTAACTACTCAAACACATCATTAACCATGAAAACATGTAGAAAATGCATTTGAACAGAGAAAATCCCTGAAGATTCAGATCCTGAAGCAGGAGTTACCGGGAAGACTCATGCACTTAGAGTTTCGACACGTGCACGCTCCGGTGGCTGGAAAAACAAAAACAACAGTTCACACACATCTGATAAAAACACACACATTCCTATAGATCTACAACCAGCTATTAGCCTGAAACTGGAAAAAATACTCTAGCCTGCTCATGGAGAAAGACGACCACAAGTGTATTTTGTCACACACACACACACACACACACGCGCGTGTGTGTGTGTGTGTGTGTGTGTGTGTGTACCGTGACACGCAGGCTCTGCAGCTCCTCACAGAGTGTGTTTCTCTCCTGCATCAGCTGGTTCTGTTTGGCCAGAAGCTCACACACCTGCTGCGCGCTGCTCTGACAGTGACGATCCAACTGCTGCAGCCTGCAACACACACACACACATGCACACAGGGACTGAAAGTGTGTAAGAACAACAAGCCCTCCTGGCTGATATAAAACCAAATGTTGTAAATATTGAAACAGAAGTGGATCCACAAAGAGCTTCTATCACCGGACTTTGTGTTGACAAACACTCCGCGCTGTTTACCTGAGTTTTATGACAGTGTTTTATTCTGAGAGCTGAGAAGGATGAAAAACAGGAAAATGAGCCAGATGTTACTGATTCGTGTTCAGTCTTCACTAACAGACATTAAAGATGTGGTCAAAAACAACATTTCTGTTTGAGGCAGCGTTCTCCTTGGCAGGGGGTAGGCCGGCGTTAGGTTTATTTTTCTTCTAAATGCAGCTTTCAATAGTTAGTGCTCCGAGAACCTTTTAGGTTAAGCTTCAAACAGCTTTCTGAACTTCTAAGATGGTTTCTGATTGATCGTCATTAGAAAATTAATGACAACTTATTGAAATGCTTTGACTTTTAAAACCTTTACCCATCTTAATATTTGAACAATAATAGTAAATTTGGAAACAAATAATTTAGTTTTCATTGCAAAAAAAATAAAAAGCCCTCTCTGCATCTTGGTAGGTGGTAGGTGGTAGAAATTGTTTTTTTTCCTGTAGCCAATACTGATGCCGATGGGTAGGAGACATGGTCAGCCGATGGCCAATATGCGCCGCCGTTTTTTATGAGCCGATTTTCATGGCTGATATCTCGACTTTCCACCTTTTTTCATGCTAAAATGTCACTAATAACATCAGTTGATGCATAACGTTTCTGAAGCTGAATCTCGTAATTGTTAAAAATTCATTTTGTGCACTGCTCAGTGTTAAAGTCAGAGACCTAAATAAAGTTATTTATTATGTAGATGTTATTAGTGAACGTGACATACATTTAAATTAATAGAAGACAAATACAAGGTTAATGAATGTTTGAATGCATAGACAGAATTAGAATGTTTCTGCTTTTATTTTTGGACTGTTGTGGATGAAGTCTGAGGATGAGAAAGTTGTTGAAATGTGTTAGAACTACGTTCTGATCATCCCTCTGAGCTAGACAATGCACTCTTTCACTGAGGGATTAGCCGGTGCGTACACGTGTCTCACCCATTCATCTATCCACTTGATCGCCCTTTCTCCCTCCTCCTGGAAAGCAGCAGTGGACACACACACACACACTCTGAAAATGAGACAGGGGACGTCCTCTTCACTGGATTCCACCAACCACCCGTTATTTTACCTCTATGCAGTAAGTAAAACCATTTCAGAGAAAACGCTGCACAAATGTAGTTTTTATATATGTTTCATATATGTATCATTCTAAAGTACATATATTGTGATTTTTGCTGCTATTGCACAGCTTCATTTCAGAGGAATTGAGTTTTAGATCTATCGAATGAATGTTTAAACAGCAAACCTACATTTTGTTTCATCGTGGTTTCAGAATGTTTGATTAAAACACAAACAGAAGTCGTTATGATGAAAAGAGGACAAACAAAGCTGCATTCCATCTTTTAGTTCTTTTTAAAACACAGAAAGGTTTTATTTACCTGCAAATGAAACGTTGCAGGTAAATAAAACCTTTCGGTGTTTTAAAAAGAACTAAAAGATGGAATTAGAATTTCAACACAGCAAGAACACATCAAAGATAAACAAAGCTGCAGTTTTTCAGTTTCTTCCACTCATGAGATTAAGAAGGAGATATAGTTGTCGTCGTCTTCCTCCGCTTATCCGGGTCTGGGGGCAGCATCCCAACTAGGGAGCTCTAGACCGTCCTCTTCCCGGCCACCTCCACCAGCTCCTCCGGCAGGACCCCAAGGCGTTCCCGGACCAGATTGGAGATGTAACCTCTCCAACGTGTCCTGGGTCGACCCGGGGCCTCCTGCCAGCAGGACATGCCCGAAACACCTCCCCGGGGAGGCGTCCAGGAGGCATCCTGACCAGACGCCCGAGCCAACTCAACTGACTCCTTTCGATCCGGAGGAGCAGCGGTTCTACTCCGAGTCCGTCCTGAATGTCCGAGCTCCTCACCCTATCTCTAAGGCTGAGCCCGGCCACCCTACGGAGGAAACTCATTTCGGCCACTTGTATTCGCGAATCTCGTTCTTTCGGTCATTACCCAAAGCTCATGACCATAGGTGAGGATTGGGATGTAGATCGACTGATAAATCGAGAGCCTGGCTTTCTGGCTCAGCTCCCTCTTCACCACGGCAGATCGGCTCAGCGTTCGCATCACTGCAGACGCTGAATCAATCCACCTGTCGATCTCTCGATCCCTCCTACCCTCACTCGTGAACAAGACCCTGAGATACTTAAACTCCTCCCCTTGAGGTAGGACCTCTCCCCCGACCCGGAGTTGGCAAGCCACCCTTTTCCGGTCGAGAACCATGGTCTCAGATTTGGAGGTGCTGATCCTCATCCCAGCCGCTTCACACTCGGCCGTGAACCTACCCAGCTAGAGCTGAAGGTCAGAGCTGGATGAAGCTAGGAGGACCACATCATCTGCAAAAAGCAGAGACGAGATTCTCCTGCCACCAAACTCAACACACTCCACACCACGGCTGCGCCTAGAAATTCTGTCCATAAAGGTAATGAACAGAACCGGTGACAAAGGGCAGCCCTGGCGGAGTCCAACCCTCACCGGGAACAGGTCCGACTTACTACCGGCTATGCGGACCAAACTCACGCTCCTCCTCTGAATGGCCCTTAACAGAAAGCCACCCACCCCATACTCCTGGAGCGTCCCCCACAGGGTGCCCCTGGGGACACGGTCATAAGCCTTCTCCAAATCCACAAAACACATGTGGATTGGTTGGGCAAACTTCCATGCCCCCTACATCACCCTTGCAAGGGTATAGAGCTGGTCCACAGTTCCACGGCCAGGACGAAAACCACATTGCTCCTCCTCAATCTGAGATTCAACGATTGGTCGGACCCTCCTCTCCAGTACCTTGGAGTAGACCTTTCCAGGGAGGCGGAGGAGTGTGATCCCCCTAGAGTTGGAACACACCCTCAGGTCACCCTTCTTAAGGATGGGGACCACAATCCCGGTCTGCCACTCCACAGGAACTGCACCCGATGGCCACGCAATGTTGCAGAGACGTGTCAACCATGACAGCCCTACAACATCCATAGCCTTGAGATACCCAGGACGAATCTCATCCACCCCCGGGGCTCCGCCGCTGTGTAGTTGTTTGACTACCTCAGCAACTTCTGCCCCCGGGATTGGACAGTCAATCCCCAGGTCTCCCGGCTCTAGTTCCTCCTCGGAATGTGCGTAGGTGGGATTGAGGAGCTCCTCAAAGTATTCCTTCCACCGTCCGACTATAGCCCCAGTTGACGTCAGCAGCTCCCCAGTGTGCAGTGTGAGTGAGTTGCTGCCTTCCTCTCGTGAGGCGCCGGAAAATTTGCCAGAACCTCTTTGGAGCCGATCGATAGTCTTTCTCCATGGCCTCACCAAACTCCTCCCACGCCCGAGATTTTGCCTCGGCAACTGCCACTGCTGCACCTCACTTGGCTATCCGGTACCTGTCTGCTGCCTCTGGAGATCCACAGACCAGCCACGCCCTGTAGGCCTCTTTCTTCAGCCTGACGGCTCCCCGAACCTCTGGTGTCCACCACCGGGTACGGGGGTTGCCACCACGACTTGCACCGGCCACCTTGCGACCACAGCTAGCAACAGCCGCCTCAACAATCGCACAGTGGAACAAGGCCCACTCGGAGTCAATGTCCCCCACTGCTCTCGGGACACGGTCAAAGCTCTGACGGAGGTGGGAGTTGAAGACCGTCTTGACAGGTTCCTCTGCCAGGCGTTCCCAGCAGACCCTCACTATGCGTTTGGGTCTGCCAGGTCTACGCGGCATCTTCCCCTGCCATCTGATCCAACTCACCATCAGGTGGTGATCATTTGACAGTTCCGCTCCTCCCTTCACTCGGGTGTCCAAAACATACGGCCGCAGGTCAGATGATACAGCTACAAAGTCTATCATCGACCTGCAACCTAGGCTGCCCTGGTACCAAGTGTACCGATGTGCATCCTTATGTTCAAACATGGTGTTCGTTATGGCCAAACTGTGGCTTGCACAGAAGTCCAATAACGAAACACCACTCCAGTTAAGATCAGGCGGGCCGTTCCTCCCAATCACACCCCTCCAGATCAAGCTTTCATTGCCCACGTGAGCATTGAAGTCCCCTAGCAGGACAATGGAGTCCCCTGATGGAGCACTATCTAGCACTCGTCCCAGGGACTCCAAAAAGGGTGGGTACTCTGAACTGATATTTGGCGCATAAGCACAAACAACAGTCAGGACCCATTCCCCCGACCCGAAGGCGCAGGGAAGCTACCCTCTCGTCCCCCGGGGTAAACCCCAACACACAGGCAGAGAGTCTTGGGGCTAACAAAAAGCCAATCCCAGCCCTCCGCCTCTCACCCGGAGCAACTCCAGCAAAGGAGAATGTCCAACCCCTCTCAAGGACTTGGGTTCCAGAGCCAATGCTATGTGTCGAGGTGAGTCCAACTATATCTAGCCGGTACCGCTCAACCTCTGCCACAAGCTCCTGCTCCTTCCCCGCCAGCGAGGTGACGTTCCATGTCCCAAAAACTAGTTTCCTTGTCCAGAGATCTGACCGCCAAGGCTCCCGCTTCAGTCTGCCACCATCAGAAGGAAATATCAGACCTGAGAAAAGCCTCTGATCTTTAGAAGGAGCTTCTTGGTTTGACTAAATCAGCAAAAGAAAAGGGAAAAACATCTTTATGTATTCATAAAGAGGCATTTTTCTATTTGTCACTGTTTCAACAGGTTTAATGAATAATGACAACGATTGGTGGGATACAGTGGAGGATGGTGATGAGGGTTGGGGTTCAGGGCAGACAGATAGGGGTAGCTGGGGGGCAGACAGGTGTCCCTGCCCTGCCGGTCATGTTGGCAGTGGCGGGCCTGCCTGTGTGTGTGTATGTGTGTGTGTGTGTGTGTGTGTGTGTGTGACAGACGG